CCGCCCCCCCCGCCGCCGCTTCCGGGGCGGGCGAGGGGTTTCCTGCGGGGAGGCTGCGGCCCCGGTGCTGCTCCCGGTCCGGTCCGGTCCGGTCTCGGTCCGGCCCCTCCAGCCGCCGGGATGATCAACGCCATCTTGGTGTTCAACAACCACGGGAAACCGCGGCTCGTCCGCTTCTACCAGCATCTGGTAGCGGGGACGGGGGGGGACCGGGATGGGGACCGGGGGGACCGGAATGGGGACAGGGATTGGGACGGGGACAGGGATTGGGATGGGGACGGGGACAGGGATGGGAATGGGGACGTGGATGGGAATTGGGATGAGGACAGGGACTGGGATGGGGATGGGAGGACTGGGATGGGGACAGGGATGAGGACAGGGACCAGGATGGGGATGGGAACCGGGACCGGGATGGGGACACAGATGTCGATGGGGACGGGGGGGCCAGGATGGGAACAGGGATGAGGATGGGGATGGGGATGAGGACAGGGACCGGGATGGGGATGAATATGAGAACAGGGATGGGAACCAGGACCGGGATGGGAATGAGAACCAGGACAGGGACCGAGCTGCCTGTGGGTCGGTGGCAGTGGGTCTCTGAACCCGGTGTGGGGTTGGAGGTGTCAGGGGTCCCCGTGTTCAGGGGAGACTGGTCCCTCGGGAGGGCCCCATGGCCATGCCTGCGGTGCCGGGGCCAGCGAGGAGCCGGGAGCTGCCGTCACCGGGAGCTGTTGGTTCATGGCATCCCAGGGGGAGCGGGGGCCGTGGGTCCTGCTGGCCCTGCACCCATGGGTGCTGGCCCTGGCCCCCCCGCAGGCAGAGGAGGTCCAGCAGCAGATCATCCGTGAGACCTTCCACCTGGTGCTGAAGCGGGATGACCACATCTGCAATTTCCTGGAGTGCGGCAGGTAACCCGCGGCCCTCCGGAGACCGGGGGGCTGTGTGGGGTGTCCCCACGGCCAGGGCACCCCCAGGGTGGCCTGTCTTGTGTGTGTCCCCCCTCCTCTAAGCCCTTCACCCCTCCCTGTGTCTCCTCAGCCTGTTTGGTGGCTCAGACTACAAGCTGATCTACCGGCACTACGCCACGCTGTACTTCGTCTTCTGCGTGGACTCCTCGGAGAGCGAGCTGGGCATCCTGGACCTCATCCAGGTCGGTTTCTCCATGGCTGGGGTCGCTGGCCCGGGGGCAGCCGGTGGGTGCCTCCCCCCACGACACGCTCCCCACACCGTCGCGGTGCCCTTCGTGTGTGTGGCACCCCCTGTGCCCACCCTTCTGGGGGTGAGGGGACCTGCTGGGGGGCTGCTGTGGCATCAGCCGATACACGGTTCCTCCTCCGGGGAGGGCTGGGGGAGGTCAATCCGAATGAATTTCTTTAAAAAAATAGAAACACAGAATTGTTTATGTTGGAACAGACCTTTAGAATCATATAGAATTGTCCAGGCCGGAAAGCACCTCCAGAGGTCATCTAGTCCGACCTCCCCGCAGTCAGCAGGGACACCCCCAACTAGACCAGGTTGCCATTAAATCCAACCATCAACCCAGCGCTGCCAAACCCACCACTGACCCATGGCCCTCAGCCCCACTTCTGCCCGGTTTTTAAATCCCTCCAGAGATGGAGACTCCACCACTGCCCTGGGCAGCCTCTGCCAAGGCTTCACAACCCTTTTCAGGAAGAAATTTGTTCCCAATCTCCATCCTAAGCCTCCCCTGGTGCACCTTGAGGCTGTTTCCTCTTGTCCCATCACCTGTTCCTTGGGAGAAGAGACCGACCCCCCCTGGCTACACCCTCCTTTCAGGGAGTTGGAGAGAGTGAGAAGGTCTCCCCTCAGCCTCCTTTTCTCCAGGCTGAACCCCCCCAGCTCCCTCAGCCTCTCCTCAGGAGACTTGTGCTCCAGACCCCTCACCAGCTCCGTTGCCCTTCTCTGGACCCGCTCCAGCCCCTCAAGGTCTTTCCTGGTGTGAGGGGGCCCAAAGCTACAAGTGCATTTTTAAAACTGGTGTTCAAATGCCGTGGACTTGCCAAGGGACCTTTGCTGGACGCGGCTCACGGCAGCCAGGAGTGTCGGCATGGGGGTCACCCCCCCTCCTTGGGTCACCCCCCTTTGTCACTCACCCCCTCTCAGGCTGCTGGGGGGGCTCCAGCCCTGCCCGGACACGGTGACAGCCAGCGCTGTGGTGGATCAGGACATCGACACCTGGGATTCACCCCAGAACAGCCGAGTCCCCTGTTTCCATGACCTTGACCCTGTGCCAAGTCCCGTGAGCTTGGCTGGGCTGGGAACGGGCTCCCTCCTGCCATGGAGGTGAGATGGGGCTGTTCAGAGGGGTCTGTCCCCGCTCCGGTGCCAGCCTGGGACGCAGCGGTGGCTCTTGGGGTTCGTGGCCAGGGCTGTGGGTTTTTGTGGCCACCGGCCCCAGGGCTGCCTGTGGGCAGCGTCCTGCTGCCCCCTCTGTGCTGACCTGCCCTTCCTGCCCCCCCAGGTGTTCGTGGAGACGCTGGACAAGTGCTTTGAGAACGTCTGTGAGCTGGACCTCATCTTCCACATGGACAAGGTGGGTTGTAGACTGTGTGCTCCCACAGGCCACCGCCGTCCTTGCTCCTGGAGCCACCCAGCCTCAAGCTCTGGAGCTTTCCAGGAGAGGCCAATGGTGCATGAGGGGTCCCTTTTTGGGGAGAGATTGGAATCCTGCCTGGGGGAGTCCTCAGTGTGGGGGCTTCTTGAGCCTTTCACGTTGTGTCCTCCAAGAGATCCGAGTCGCTGGACTCTTCCCAAGCTCTCAGCTCCCAGTGCTCGCCCCGTAGCATCACTGTGGGGCTGGGCTCTCTGCTTGCCCTAGGGGGGGGCTGTCCTGGTGACTGTCACCAACGCTGGGTACCCGTGGGCTCTGGTGACAGGGCTGTGTGCCGAGGCTCTGCTCTTGGTCATCTGGTGGAGCTGGGCCGGGTCTGGCCCCGTGTGGGGGCGTTTCGCCTCTTCCCCCTGTGCCGTGGGACCCAGGGACCCCCGTTAACGTTTTACTGGAGCTGCAGGGGAAAAAAGAAAAGAAAGCAAAGGGAAGGAAGAATGGGAGTGTTGGGAATACAAAGTGTTTGGTAAACTTTTGTTTGAGGCAGAGCCTTTAATGCTTCCTCCCTAGCTGGAGAGAGTTTCTGGGCGGAAACATGTCCCCTTTGATCATCTCGGAGATGGGGCTGGAGATAGGGAGAGAGACTTGCTGACGTGTGCTGGACTTGTGTTGCAGTTGATAAGGGTTTACTTGCTTTGTTGAAGACAAAACATGCCAACAAAAAGAGGAGGAGGGGGGAAATAAACAGGGCTGTAAAACGTTCCCTTTCTGTTGGCGATTCCAGCTCCTGACCTCTGGCAGGGGAAGGGGCAGGACGTCTCAGAAGGCGATGGGGATCAGCTGAGTGTGCTGGCAGCTTGGATTTCATAACTTGCCCTAATGTAAACTTTTGGAAATGTTACGGGGTTGATTATCCCATCAGCAAAAGCTGCCTTATCGAAGCAGCACAAGGGGAGGAAGGAGGAAGTGCACGGGGGGAATGTACCTGCAGCTGGCAGCCGCCCAGCTCACCTCTGGCCACATCTGGCAGAGGATGTGCTCTCGGTTACTTATCTCCTGGAGTCACAGTGACTAGGGCAGGAGAGATTACCCTGCTGATGCCTGTTTTGCCAGCAGCAGCATGAATTTCCCCTTCTCCTACCTCTCGTGCCAAGGGGGGGTTGGAAGGAGACAGGGTTCCTGAACAGGGGGGGACCAGGCTCGGTCACCCCAGGGCTTGTTTGCTTCCCACCCTCTGCTCCCGCTGCTTCCCAGCTGTGACTTCAGTCCTTGGCCACTATCAGTTGCTCCTCTTATCTCTTTCTATATTTGGCATTTATTTATTTCTGGCACGCGTTGGTGCTTCCAGGATCTTGGTGACGGACAGGGGGTGTGAGGGGTGCTGGGAGCACGCAGGAGCGTCCTGCCGGCCCCCGGGCAGGGGGTTCTGCAGCTGCGATGGGAGCCCACCCTGCCTCAGGGACATGGGTTTGTCACGAGTGCAGGGCAGGAGAGATTACCCTGCTGATGCCTGTTTTGCCAGCAGCAGCATGAATTTCCCCTTCTCCTACCTCTCGTGCCAAGGGGGGGTTGGAAGGAGACAGGGTTCCTGAACAGGGGGGGACCAGGCTCGGTCACCCCAGGGCTTGTTTGCTTCCCACCCTCTGCTCCCGCTGCTTCCCAGCTGTGACTTCAGTCCTTGGCCACTATCTCTCCTCTTATCTCTTTCTATATTTGGCATTTATTTATTTCTGGCACGCGTTGGTGCTTCCAGGATCTTGGTGACGGACAGGGGGTGTGAGGGGTGCTGGGAGCACGCAGGAGCGTCCTGCCGGCCCCCGGGCAGGGGGTTCTGCAGCTGCGATGGGAGCCCACCCTGCCTCAGGGACATGGGTTTGTCACGAGTGGCACAGGGCTCGGTGCTCCCCCGGCTGGCAGGCGGATCGCAGAGTTCCCAAATGTCCCCTGGGAGCAGGAGGAATGATGCCGGTGTCGATGGAGAAGGGCCCGTTTGTGGAGCAGAGATGTTGCCTGGGAACACCCCCTGGCCCCGTGGGGTCTGGCTGGGGTCTGGCACAGCCAGCTCTGCATCCTGTGGCTCTGTTGTTGCCTTAAGGTCACCCTCACACCCCTCTCTGCGGCACGGGGTCCCCGAAACCAGAGCTGCTGGGGGTCTGGGGTCCCTGCTCTTGCGGCTGGAGGGGGTGGTTGGGTCTCTGCTTCTCGGGCACCGGTGCCTGGGAGCTGCAGGGACCCCTCTTTCCTGAGGGGAGGCTGGAGCCACGGAGCCGCGGGGGGCTCGGAGCTGGCCCAGCCCCGGCTTCTGCCTCGTACCTTGGAGGAGAACGTGATTTTGGCCCCGCAGCTGCGAGGTCCCGCAGAGGACAGGCTTTTGTTCGGGAAGTGCTGTGTTTCGGGCTGGAAAACAAAAGCCTGGGATTTCTGCCCTGTTGGGTTCTGTCCAGCTTGGGCTGAGGCCAGGTCTGGAAGGAGCGGTGTTTCCTGCAGCCCGAGGTGCTCTGGGGTTGTGGGGAGCCATAGCATCCCCCGGCGCGGGGTTTGCTGGGGCTGGGCTGAGCTGGCGGTATCCTGGGCTGAGCTGGGGGGATCCCGGGGGTAGCTGTGGGTCCAGGGGGGTGCTGTGTCACCCGTGGCTCCCCCCGTGCGCTGCGAGTCCCCCCACACCGTGCAGCTCCCGGTGCTGTGGGAGCAGGACGGGCCCCGCGGGGGCCGAGCTGGGTTTCCCCCACCCGGCAGCTCTTCTGACATTCATTGTTCTTCGCGGCGTCAGCCCGGCCCTACTTGCCACACAGGGCAACCTGCCCTCCTGAAACCATAAACCACGGTAATCACTTCACCCACTTGCAGTAACAGCCCGTTTCACGGAAGTGACCGGGGCCCATAAATTCGTTATCTGTGCTGAGGAGGCGCTGGCTCAGCAGGGCCCGCGGGGCGAGCAGCCCAGGCTGGGTGGCAGTGCCCGCGCTGGCCCTGTCCCCTGCGGGGACTGCCGGGAACATGGCAGGAGCAGCAGGTCCTTGAGGCCACTCTGCTCCATCCCGGGCAGACCCCGGGCAGGGGAACAGACCCTCTTGCCGGTTTTGTGCTTTTTGTGTGTCACAGTCACACTTTTCCTAAGGGAAAGCAAAGAACCTGGGCTCTGGCCTGGATTCCTGGGCGGAAGAAAGTGGTTCTGGGAAGAAGTCCTGCCCGGTGGCTGCGGGAGGCCCTGGTGTCCCTGCTGCCCTCGAAGGGCAGTGGCTTTCCAGGCAGGGTCCCTGCCTATCCCCAGCCCAGGGTGGTCAAACGTGAGCGGAGGAGGTGGGGATGGGGCAGGCAGGGTGTGCCAGCGGGACCCAGCCTGGCGGGGGGCTGCCCTGTGCCTGGTGGCCCCGTGGGTGACGTTTGCTCCAGCCCCTGTGGTCGGTGTCCTCCAGAGCAGAGGCACCACAGCACATGGGGCTGCCCGACTGCCCTGTGCCAAGGACCGTGCCTGGCTGCTGGGGCTGTGGGGCTGGATTTGGGGCTGGATTTGCATCTCTGGGGGAAAATGGCAGCCCCCGGGGGGCTTCCACACCAGCCTGCAGGCACTGTGGCCGCTGCTGGTTCCTGTGCTGGGTTCAGAGCCTTCCCTTCCCTTCCCTGGCAGGTCCACCACATCTTGCAGGAGGTGGTGATCGGCGGCATGGTGCTGGAGACCAACATGAACGAGATCGTGGCGCAGGTGGAGGCCCAGAGCAAGCTGGAGAAGGCAGAGGTGGGTGGCGACGCCGCGGCTCTGCCCCACGGGGGTCTGGAGCTGCCACGTGTGGGGTGTCCCCAAATCCCCAGTCTCCTCCTGGAGGAGAGGGCCGGGGGCGTCCCTCCCCAGCGCTGCTTCCCCTTCTTTGGGAGTGCAGCCCGAACGTGGAAACAGCTGTGCCCGTCCAGGTTAATGATCCGAGGCAGTGAAAAGTTTATTGACCCCGCTTTCCCCATCGCCGTGGAGCCGCAGCGTTGCTCCGGTCACAGGGACGCACCGCGCTGCCACTCCCTGTCCCGCGCTGCGCACAGGGCTGGGGCCATGGCAGGCTGGGGGGTGGCCATGGGGGGCTGCTCCCGCCTGTGAGGGGGATGTGGCCAGGCCTGGGGGCTCGGGGGAGGCAAGGCAGCACGGAGCAGGGCTCAGTTCGGGGATGCTCCTGCCGCAAAGCGCGGGGCTGAGCCGGGAGCAGCCCGGACCCCCTCGCGGGGGGGCTAAGGGGGCCAGGGGCTGGTGGTCACTGGTCCCTCCCGTTGGCAGGGAGGCCTCTCGGCCGCTCCTTCCCGCGCTGTCTCAGCCGTGAAGAACATCAACCTGCCGGAGATCCCTCGCAACATCAACATCGGAGACATCAACATCAAAGTGCCCAACCTCTCGCAGTTCATGTGAGCGTCCCATGGCCAGGGGGGCTGCCCGGGGGCATGGGCTGGGGCCTGGGCGGGATGAGGAGCGGAGCTGGGCTCCCCTGGGCTCCCCCTGTCCCTCCTGGGGCTCTGCCCCTTGTGGGTCTCTGCTTCTGTGGCACCCGGAGTGCCCGGTGTGGTGCCAGGGTTTGGGGCTGGTGGGGGGGGAGCAGTGAGGGGGCTCTGCTGGAGCTGGTGGGGTGCCCCCCGTCTGTCTGTCACCTTGGACCTGGGCTCGGCTCCGCTCTCTGGGCTCCCAACAACATGGGTGGCCTTTTTTCCCTTCCCTGCCCCTCCCTGTGGACGCGCAGCCTCTCTCCTGGCTGGGGAAGAGCCAGTTCCTGCCTCTCCCAGAGCTTCTCGAGATTCCTGGTTGTAAAAATGCACTTGTAGCTGATGGCTCCCGCAGGAGCCACAGGTTGTCACCTCCTCCCCAGGATGGACTGTCCCCTGCCCCGCATCCCTGTGCCCGCCCTGCTCCCCGTCGCTGGGTCTGGCCCCCCGGGATGGGCTTGGGACCAGCCTGGTCGGGGTTGAGCGTGGGAGGGTCTGCCAGGTCTGGAGCTGGGGCTGGCGTGGGGGGAACCTGCTGGGCCCGGGGGTGCCGGGGGTCAGAGGGGGGCCACCTCCTGCCCTGCCTGGGCTGTGGGGCAGGGGAGCAGTGGGGCTGGGACCTCCTGGAGCATGTCCCCATGTCCCAATAAACCACCCTGTGAACCTGCTGTGTCTGTGTCTGCCGTGAGGGGCTGCTGGCCCGACCCCGGGGGGAGCCCAGGAGGGGGCTGTGGCAGTCGGGGGCCTCTGTGCAGCGCCTGTGGGGCAGCTGCAACCCTGGGGGGCTCTTGACTGTCGGGCAGGCAGGTGCTCAGGGGGAAAGACGGTGCCCTGGACCCTCCCTGGGGAGGGCTGGGGTTGCTGCAGGGTGGGCGGTGGGGCAGGGTCCCTGGCTGTGCCCTGGGGGGCATCCCTGGGCAGAGCATCCCTGGTCTGCTCTTGGGGCAACTATGAGCCCCTTAGGGCTCAGTGGGGCATGTGAGGGCTGTGGGGCTGGAGCTAGTGCCCCCCCACAAGGCCTGGGGGAGTGGGGCTGGTCCTGGGGGTCCATGGACTGAGTGTGGCTGCGGGGGACAGGCCAGGCAGGGGGCTCCCTGAGCAGAGGGGGCTCCTCAGGGCTCCATCTGGCCACCAGCCTTGGGGCTGGCTCGGGGGCCCCTTCCTCTGCTTCCCCTCCGGCGGCCGGTCCAGCTGTGTCCCACGGGCTCTGCCTCCACTTCCCCTGGCAGGGAAACCGTGACTCTGCCTGGAAGGAATTTTCCTGCTGTCTCCCCTCCCTGCGGCTTAACCCTTCCCCAGCTGGCCATGAGCCACTGCCAGGGGCCGTGGAGGTCAAGGAGCTGGGCAACCTCCTTCTTCCTCTTCTCTGCCAGCCCCTCTTCTCTTCCTCCTCCTCCTCGTGCTGTCAGCTGCCGGAGCAGCGTGGTGCGGGGACCAGGTGAGCGGTGCTGTGTCCCAGGGCTGGCACACGGGGTCCGACGGGCACTGGGACAGTGGGAGGGGGAAACCCCAGCTTGCCCCAGGGTGAGGGACACAGCGCGGAGCCCCCGTCCCACTGCGGGGGCACTGGAGGCAGGTGGGCTGGGGCAGGTGGTCCTGGCTGTGATGGGCCGTGTCCGCGCCCAGCCCTGTGCTGTGGCACGGGGGGCTCCGGTGTGGGATGTGTCCAGACTGGCCCGGGTGGCGGTGGCCCTGCAAGCCCCCCAGGGACCCCTGGGGTCCTGCCCAGGCACAGGAGCCGAGTGAGGAGGAGGGGAGTGAGGAGGAGGGAGGAAGGTGAGCCCTGGGGCAATGCATTCCTGCCCAGGGCAGGGCTATGAGCCACCCTGAGCTGGCAATGACCCTGTGTGCCCCAAGGGGCTGCAGCCGGGCCACCAGACCCCTCCTGCACCCTGAGGTGGGCTGGGGGTGTGGGATGTGCAGGGACAGGGGGGCTCGGTGCTCCCATGTTCGAGCTGCTGGCATGGTCTGGAGGTGGGAGACGTGGCTGGGGCTTGGGGCTGGCTCCAGGCTCCTGACTCCTGGCTACCGGCTCCCGTCCCTGGCCAGGCTCTGCTGTCGCACTGAGGAGTGCTGGACTGTGCTGAGGTCAGCCAGGGGTGCTCGCCGGAGCATGTCCCCCCAGCTCCAGGCCCCCCTCCCCAGCATCCGGGTGGGGGGGAGCGGGTGAAGGAGCCTGGCATGGCCCCAGCCCCTCCAGGTGCCTGCGGTACCATAGTCAAATGTTTACCCTCGCCCTGCCAACCTCCGGGTGAGCCCAGGCCCGGCCCTGCTGGGTCACTCCCTGCACAGGGGGGGACCCCGGAGCCCGGCCGTCTCAAGGTGCTGCACCCCAAAACCCATCTGTCCTCTGGCCACAGCCCCACAGGTAGTGACCAGGACCGGAACGTCCCCGAACCCGCCGCTGCCCGGGCAGGGGGTGCCAGGTGGGGCTGGGACACAGGGTCTGGGCTGGGGGGGCTGGGTGAGGGGCACCCCCCAAGCAGGGTCACTATTCCCAGCATTTCTGGGTGCTCTGGGTGCAGTGGGAGGTGGCACAGCCCGGCTTGGATGCTGCTGGGTGATGGGTTGTCCCCCCTCCTGCCACCCCCCGGGATGTCTGGGGCTGGTGTGAGGGAGAGGACCCCCAGCAGGACCTCGGGGGGGTTCTGGGGTGTAGGGGCCGAGCTGGGGGGTGGGGGGGGTTTGTCTGCAGCAGCAGGGCACTGCGGTCCCCAGGCTGTGTGCGGGGTGCGGGCAGCCTCCAGCGCACATCCCCGGCCAACGCCTCCCAGCTGGGGCAGTGGGGGGTCCCGCAACTCTGGGGTAGGG